CTTATGGAGGATTTTATGAATTGACCTGAAAGAAAAGGAACGAAAAGGCAAAAAGAAATGTATAGTACTATATCCAACTAAAAAGCTTGTGCACAGCAAAAGAAACTGCTAACAAAATAAAAAGACAACTAACCACATGGCAAAAGATATTTGCAAATGACAGCTCTGACAAGAGGTTAATATCAAACTATATTTAAAAGCTCATATAACTCAATGCCCAACAATAAACAATCCAGTTAAAAAACGGGCAGATTACCTGAATAGATACTTCTTTTAAGACTACATACAAAGAACTTACACAACTCCACTCTAGGAAGACATCTAACCCAATTAAAAAATGGTAAAAGGACTTGAACAGACACTTCTCTAAAGAGGACATACAGAATATCCAGAGACACATGAAGAGATGCTCAATATCGTTAGCTATCAGAGAGATGCAAATTAAAACCACAATGAGATACCACTTTACACCAGTCAGGATGGCTATAATAGACAAAGCAACAAACAAAAAATGTTGGAGAGGTTGTGCGGAAAAGGGGACCTTAGTTCACTGTTGGTGGGATTGCAGACTGGTACAACCATTATGGAAAACAGTATGGAATTTTCTCAGAAAAATAAAAATCGACCTGCCTTTTGACCCCCAGCAATTCCACTGCTAGGATTATACCCCAAGAATCCTAAAACATCAATTTCAAAGAATCTATGCACCACAATGTTCATAGAAGCACAATTTACAATAGCCAAGAGCTGGAAGCAACCTAGGTGCCCATCGGTAAACGAATGGATCAAAAAATTGTGGTACATATACACAATGGAATTCTATGCAGCAGAGAGAAAGAAGGAGCTACTACCCTTTGCAACAACATGGATGGAACTGGAAAGCATTATGCTGAGTGAAATAGGCCAGGCATTGAAAGACAAATACCATATGATCTCACCTTTGACAGGAAGCTAAAGAATAAAACAAACAAGCAAACAGAATAAAAACAAAGACACTGAAATAGAGAACAAGTGGGCAGCGACCAGAGGGGAGAGGGAAGCGAATTTAAGGGGAAAAATGGGGAGGGATTTTGAGGAACAAGTATGAAAGGCACAGGGATGAGGACTGGGGCGGGGGGGGGGGGAATGGGAGGGAGAGGGGAGACGGGGTGGGGGGGTGGGATGGGAGAAATAGATAAAAAAATGTACTTGAAAAATAACTAAATAAAATTTATTTTAAAAAAAGACTACATACAAGTGGAAAAGGTATATAAAAAAATGCTCAACTTCCCTAGCTATTAGGGAAATGCAAATCAAAACTACAATGAGATACTACCTCACACCTGTTATAATGGCTAGTATTAACTAGACTGTTAATAACAAGTGTTGGAGAGGTTGTGGAAAAAAGGAAACCGCCTTCTGACCCGGACACTGGCCTGCAGTGTCCGCAGCATTGTGGATGAGTCAAGATACATTCACACAGACTGCTGAGTCCTGTGGAGGAAAAGGGACAGTGTAACTTCTCTCTCAAGGGGAGAGCTAGTCTTGCAGCACCTTGGCCACCCTCTCAAGAGGAGAGAGCACCTGGACCCTTGCCTTGAGACACTTTCATTGGATTCAATTTGTGTAGGCATACAGGGTGTATATGTAAAGCTCATTAATTATTATCAGTCAGTAAGGATCAAACCATAGATAACATACAGAGAACTCTGAGGGCCTATTTTTGAGTCAGGGTCAATAGCTAAATGGCCATAAAACTTTGGGGAACAAACTCACTTCTTGCTTGGACCTTTATCATTTAATTGAAAGCATTCTAAACAAAGCAAGTTTCACAGTATTTTACATATTCTTTCTTAGGCCTGATTGCCCTAGGAAACCCACCCTTTTCAGCACAGGGCTGCACCCATCACTGACATTGTTTTAGTCTTAAGTCAGGCAGGAGAAGTAAGGCAGGTAAGAGATTAGGAGACTTCTTACAGACAGAATGAGGACTCAGGCTATGTCAAAGCTGAGGGATGAGGGGCCATCACCCCTTTGCTGTAGCCCCCAAGTCCTTCCCTGGGTACCCCCCCATGATCATGCCTATCTTAGGTCATCCCTCCCTTGAGGAACCTTACCTGTGCTTGGCTAACAGATCAAGCATTGAGGACCAGGCATAATGAAGTAAAAGAAGCAGAAGCAGCGCTCCAGTCAGGAAGATAAGCTTTGTCTCCTTAGTGGCTTATTGTCAGAAGGTCACTCACTCAGCCTTAGCCATGGGGAGGGGGAGCGGTTACAGCTTCTGAAACCAGGCAGGGCAGTTCCCAACACCAGGCATATGCCCTGACTGGGGAATTGAACTGGCTACCCTTTGGATCACAGGCTGGCACTTAATGCACTGAGGCACACCAGCCAGTTTATTTTTGATAATAGCCATTCTAATAGATGTGAGGTGATATCTCATTTTGGTTTTGATTTGCATACCATATATATTTGTATCCGCCATCTACAACTAAGTCTTAAGTATATTTCTGGTATTCCAAGGACAGTGAGGGGGTTGACAAGGGATTTAATATTATTAGTGTAGCAGTAGCAGACTAGGCTAAACCATGCTATTTTAACTTAAATGTCAGTATCTTAACATGCAAAGTTTATTTCTCATTCATACTACCTACCCATCATGGGCTATATTCAAGAGTGTAGCTCATTTCTTGCCTTGTTTCCTATCCATTGGGTTGGCCAAAAAGTCTGTTGAGTTTTTTTCCATAAAATAAAAGATGCATTTTTCACTTTCATCAATAACATTATTGATTTGGATATTTTGAGTATGTCAGCTATCTCCTGTGTGGTGTGATATTGATTGTTCTCAGTTAATGTCTCGATTTGATCAATATCAACTTCAACTGGTCTACCTGCCATGGAGTATTGTCCAGTGAGAAATTACCAGCATGAAACTTCACACACCACTTTTGACATGTTCAATCAGTTGCACTATCTTCTCCATACACTGCACAAATCGTTTTTTGTGTTTTAGTTTCATTTCACCTTTCTCGAAATAAAAAAGCATAACATAGTGAAAATATATTATGTTTTTTCTTCCATCTTCAACATTAAAATAACTACACAAAAATTCACCAATTTTGATATTTTTTTAAGACTGCATGCTAATATGACAGCTGTCACAATACAATCTAACAAAATTGTTTTGAATGAAGTTAAAGAAAATGAAGTGCTACTAGAGCCATCTTTCAGAAAAAACCAAACAGACTTCTTGGCTAACCCAATAGTTTGTGGGGCTGGTTTTCAAGGCCTTGTGGTCTCTGGCATGGATTGGGCAGGCCTGTCTCAGATTTCATGGTTTATAATATAGTCAGAGAGAAGCTAAGAGATTTTCATATCTTGAGCTCGGTGTGTACTGGAGGCAAGCCTCTGAAAGTCTTTGTCTAAGTATGGAACATGTGCAAGTATATTGTGTTTCTAGCTTGAGGACTCCATCTTTGACTAAGCTGTAACTTGGGTACAGCTTGAGGAAAACTGGCTGTACCTACAAAAGGGGAACTATAGAGCCATGTTGTTATTATACCCACCTGAGGTTCAGACCAACATCTTTAGATTAGTGCAATGGTTTGCCTGAATCCCTCCTGCAGAGGTACATGGGCCCCTCTGGTGCTGGAACATATCTGCCCTGAACCCATCCTGATGTTCTTGGGTTTCACAAGCTTAGGGAAGTGCTGGGATTTGTATACATCCCTTTTAGTTTCCATCAGAGAGAGCATATGTATGTATCTGGGAGGTGTAGGGGTAGACAGCATAGTAAGTAAATTGAAAGAGGAGTTACTTTTTTCTTATCCCAGCTGCTTTCTTGGGATGCTGTACTTTTCCAAAAGAGGAATTTGGGAATGTACAACTCAGCATAAACATTTTTAAAGGCCCTGGCTGGTGTAGCTCAGTGGATTGAGCGCACAGGCCTGTGAACCAGAGGATCATGGTTCGATTCCCGGTCAGGGCACATGTCCGGGTTGCAGGCAGGTTTCCTGCAGGCCAGTTCCCAGCAGGGGATGCACAAAAGGCAACCATACATTGATGTTTCCCTCTCTCCTTCCCCTCTAAAGATAAATAAATAAATAAAATCTAAAAAAATTATAATAAAAAATTCTTTAAAGGCATGTTCCAAGTGAGTTATTTCTTCTCTTCTGAAATATAATGTCTTTTTTAAAAACTAATTTTTACTGCGATATAATTGGCATGTAGTTGCAGGTGTATAACATAATGATTAGCTATTTTGATATATAATGATCACCACAATAACTAGTTAATATATATCACCATACATAGATACAAGTTTTTTTCTTGTGATGAGAACTCAGGATCTACTTACACTCTTAGCAACTTTCATATATGCAATATAGTACTTTTCAAAATCTTCACCCAAGGATATTTTGAGAGAGAGGATGGGAGGGAGAGAGAGACACACACATCGATGTGAGAAAGAAACATCAATTGTCTACCTCCCATTTGCACCCTGACCAAGGATCAAACCCATAAACTTGGTGTATGGGATGATGCTCCAGTCAACAGCCACCTGGTGAGAGGTGCAGCCTTTTTTGCCTTTATTTTCTTAACTCTCTTCATGTATACTCTGATTCTTTTCAATTCCTGCTTTTTACTGGATGTTCCTTAGGATTAACTCCCTGAGCTGCCAAATAAACCCAAAACATTGAATTTGTTGTGTAAGCAGAAACTATATCCACTATTACATGTTCAAGTGGGCCCAACTTCTGCAACAACTCATTTCTAAAAAAAGACATCTTGATCTTCAGCATGTCATCTATAGCACCAATGAAATTCTCAAATACTGATAAATACTCATGAGTTTCTGCTGGATTGTCTCCAATGTTTTCTTTGACTGTCTTTATGACTAAAGTGGTACCAGTATTGTTGGTGAAGGCTCTCTTCTGATTACAGACTGCTGACTTCTTGCATTCTCATTTGGGGAAGGCCTCCTTTAACTTCAACAGTACAATATAGTTTTATGATTTCAGTGGTTGGTGACTTTCAGGGATGTGGCTATAGAATTCTCACAGGAGGAGTGGGACTATCTGGACCCTGCTCAGAGAGACTTGTACAGAGATGTGATGATGGAGAACTACAGCAACCTGGTCTTACTAGGTAAGGTTATTTATCCCCAAACATCTTGTGAATTTTGGGTGTATCTTTCAATTATCTGGGTGCATTTCTATATCCTAGAGAATTATTTTGTGCCTTGCAGATTAGGATATGGGGAGCTCTTTGTAATCCCTTTATCTTATCCATTCTTTAGAACTTTATAACTTGCTTTTCATGTAGTTGCCTATTTTCTTGATAACTAGGTTTGAATTCAGCGACATGATTATATCTTATTCTCTTTTTGTGTAAACAGGACTCTCTATGTCTAAGCATGATATGATTTTCTTATTGGACAAGGGAAAGAGCCCTGGATGCAAAGGAACATGGTGGGAGGATGCTGCCCAGGTGAGTAAGGATTTAACTGGGGAAAGGCACTGCAGTTAAGAACCCACCACCCTGGCTGGTGTGGCTCAGTGGATTGAGTGCCAGCCTGTGAACTGAAAGATCACTGGTTCAATTTCTAGTCAGGGCACATGCCTGGGTTGCGGGCCAGGTCCCCAGCTGAGGGCATGGGAGAGGCAACCAGGTGATGTATCTCTTGCACAATGAGGTTTCTCTCCCCTTCTTTCTCTGTCCCTTACACTCTCTCTAAAAAAATAAATAATTTTTAAAAAAAAGAACCCAGTTGGCATGGAAGGCAGAATCCTAAAGGTAATGATTGAATAATGTCTCCCTTGTAGGCCCATCCAAGAGTTGTGGAGAAAAGGCCTAAGATATATGGAGAAAAGTACTCTCTGTGCTACTCATCTGCCTTCATTCCATCCCATTTTAAAGCCCTTTTTTTCTCTTGAGGAGATATTCTATTTCATATAACTCGGATCTACTTCTTTCTCTTTTATTTTATTGTGTATTTTAAAAATTCAATTATTGTTCAAGTACAGTTTTCTGTCTTTTACTCCCATCCCAACCCACTCCCCCCCAGGGTTCCCCACCTCCCTCCCATTTCCACCCTTGTTAGTTTTTGTCCATGTGTCCTTTATACTTGTTCCTGTGAATTCTTCCTCTTTTCCCCTGAAATTCCTTCCCCTCTCCCTTCTGGTCCCTGTCTGTCTGTTCTCTATTTCAGTGTCTTTGGTTATATTTTTCTTGCTTGTTTGTTTTGTTGTTTAGGGTCCTGTTACAGGTTAGATCATATGGTATTTGTCTTTCACTGCCTGGCTTATTTCACTTAGCATAATGCTCTCCAGTTCCATCCATGCTGTTGCAAAGGGTATAAGCTCCTTCTTACTCTCTGCTGCTTAGAATTCCATTGTGTAAATGTACCATTGTTTTTTGATCCACTCATTTGCTGGTGGGCACTTAGGTTGCTTCCAGCACTTGGCTACTGTAAATTGTGCTCCTATGAACATTGGGGTGCATAGGTTCTTTTGGATTGGCCTTTCAGGGCTCTTAGGGCATAATCCCAGCAGTGGAATTTCTGGGTCAAAAGGCAGTTCCATTTTTAGTTTTCTGAGGAAATTCCATACTGTTTTCTACAGTGGCTGGACCAGTCTGCATTCCCACTAACAGTGCATAGGTTTCCCTTTTCTCCACATCCTCTCCAGCACTTGTTTATTGATCTGTTTACAAAGGCCATTCTGACTGGTGTGAAATGGTATCTCATTGTGGTTTTAATTTGCATCTCTCTGACGACTAGTGATTGATACTGAGCATCTTTTTGTGTGTCTCTGGACCCTCTGTATGTCCTCCTTAGAGAAGTGTCTGTTCAAGTCTTCTGCCCATTTTATAATTGTCCTTTTTTTGTCTTCCTGGAGTCTTGTGAGTTTTTATATATTTTGGAGATCAAGCCCTTATCTGAGGTGTCATTGGCAAACATGTTTTCCTATATGGTTGGCTCTCTTTTCATTTTAATGCTGTTTGCTTTAGCCATGCAGAAGCTTTTTAATTTGATGAAGTGCCATTTGTTTATTCTTTCCTTTATGTCCCTTGCTTTAGGAGCCATATCAGTGAAGATGTTGCTGCACGGGATGTCTGACATTTTCCTGCCAATGTTTTCCTCTAGGATTTTTGTGGTTTTATGTCTATATCCTCTTCAAGAAATGGTGTTGAGAGATCTGGACAGCTACATGCAAAAAAATGAAACTTGATCACCAACTTACACCATACACAAAAATAAATTCAAGGTGGATAAATGAATGTTTATTTTTTCCTTTGGTTCCAAACCATTGAATTGAGTCCTGGTTCCTTCCCTTCACTGTTGGCTCCCTATATATTTTCCTTTATCTCACTTTCTATGGTCTCCATTTCTTCCTTTATTTTGCAGCCGTACACAATCATTTCTGTGAAGATCCTGATTACCAGTGTTTGAACTCTGCATCTGATAGGTTGGCTATCTCCTTGTCACTTAGTTCTTTTTCTGGAGTTTTGATCTGTTCTTTCCTTTGGGCCATATTTCTTTGTCTTCATGCAGCTGTTACAGTGTAAGGGGTAGGGCCTTAGGTATTCACCAGGGCAGGGCAACCCACTTTGCTGTGTGTGGTGCTGTATGTGGCGAGGTGTCAGAGAGGGATGATGCTGCTTGCTCAGTTCTCACCCTGCTTTCAGTCTCTTCCATTGCTTTCCACAAGTGGATTGTGATCTTTCAGGTGCTGCCCTAGTGCTGATTCCTAGGTGGATGCACTTGTGTATATTCTGTGGGTCACTCCAACAGACTCTTCTATGAGACTGGGAATTTCTTCCAACACCACAATCCCCACAGATTTTTACAGCCAGGGGTTTTGAGGCTGTAGTTTCCTGTGCTGGAACCCTGGATTGCGTGGTCTGTCTCATCAGTCGTTCCTCCTGGCTTATCTGTAGGCAAATACGGGATCAGCTGGTCTGCCAACCCCTGCCTTGTCATGGCTCCTGGCCTCCCTAGCTTCCTGTCTCTGCCCCTCCTACCGTTTGGATGAATGTTTCTTCTTCAACTCCTTCTTTGTCAGACTTCCATACAGTTAGATTTTCTGGCAGTTTTGGTTGTTTTTTGTTTTTAAATTGGTTGTTATCCTTCTTTTGGTTCTGTAAGGAAGCAAAGCTTATCTACCTATGCCTCCATCATGGCTGGAAGTTGAAGTTATTGATGACATTCATAATGTGGGCAAAAAAAATGGGTTTTAAGTAGCACAGACTGAGGGTTTATTTTTTGAAATATGAGAAAAGATAAGGCTTTTAATTTCTTAAAAATATGCTTTTAAGTAATGGGAACACTGTTTTTTAAGTGTTCTAGTTGTAGGATATCCTTGATTTTTAGTTTTTTTTCACAGAGCATTACTATTTTAAATTTTATTACTTTAATGAAGAAATCTTTAATATACACAAGAATGGTAAATTGAACATCTCATGAATCTATTTTTCAGCTCCAGCAATTATCACAATGTTTCCAATCTTATTTCATCTATCCCCATTGACCTATGCACTCCTCAACACTGATGTATTTTAAAGCAAGTCCCAACATTAGGTTGCTTTACTGTTTTGCTGTTTAAAATTATTAGTCTTATACAACTTGATTTAGATGTGTGTTTTCATGTGAGATTCCTGGGCCAAAAAGTTTAAACCTTTTAGAGTTCCTGATATTCTAGTGCAGCAATACATGATCTAGTGAAGCTGACTTATCCAACTCAATTCAGACAAGTATTAATCATCAGCTAGTTTATTGAAATTGTTAAAGTGAAAAATTGTGATGTGCCAGAACCATTTAATTTTAACTGAAAACATTTAATTATAGATCTTTTATTCACTTTTTTTATGTCATGGTAGGCATTTTGTTTGAAAATGTGTTCCTGATTTGGAGTTCTGCCTAACTTTTCATGCATACTAAAGTCATAATGTGATAATCATAATTTAAACTTTTAAAAATATATATTTTATTGATTATGCCATTACAATTGTCCTACTCCCCCCTTCATTCCCCTCCACCCTGCACACCTCTCCCTCATTATCCCCCCTTTAGTTTATGTCCACATGTCTCAAGTTCTTTAGATTCTATATTTCCCCTACTATTCTTGCCCTCCTCCCTATCTATTTTCTACCTACCATCTATGCTACTTATTCTCTATACTTTCTCCCCCCTTCTCCTCCTCCCATTTCCCTGTTGCTAACTCTCCATGTGATCTCCATTTCTGTGGTTCCACTCCTGATCTAGCCGTCCTCTTAGTTTCCTTTTTTTTAGGTGTGTTTCTTAATAACTGTGAGTTTGCTGTCCTTTCACTGTTCATCTTTTTTATCTTCTTTTTCTTAGATAAGTCCCTTTAACATTTCATATAATAAGGACTTGCTGATGATGAACTTCTTGAATTTGACCTTATCTGAGAAGCACCTTATCTGCCCTTCCATTCTAAATGAAAGCTTTGCTGGATAGAGCAATCTTGGATGTAGGTCTTTGGATTTCATGACTTGGAATACTTCTTTCCAGCCCTTTCTTGCCTGCAAGGCCTCTTTTGAGAAGTCAGCTGACAGTCTGATGGGAACTCCTTTGTAGGTGACTGTCCCCTTAGCTCTTGCTGCTTCTAGGATTCTCTCCTTCATTTAATCTTGGCTAATGTAATTATGATGTGCCTTGGTGTGTTCCTTCTTGGGTCCAACTTCTTTGGGACTCTGAGCTTCCTGGATATCCTGGAAGTCTATTTCCTTTGCCAGATTGGGGAAGTTCTCCTTTATTATTTGTTCAAATAAGTTTTCCACTTGTTGCTCTTCCTCTTCCCCCCTCTGGTACCTCTATAATTCGGATGTTGGAGCGTATAAAGATGTCCTGAAGGTTCCTAAGCCTCTCCTCATTTTTTTGAATTCTTGTTTCTTCATCCTTTTCTGTCTGGTCATTTTTTCTTTCTTCTGGTCCACTTGATTGATTTGAGTCCCAGTTTCCTGTCCATTACTATTGTTTTCCTGTGCATTTCCCTTCATTTCAATTAGTTTAGCCTTCATATGTTCCTCTAATTTGTGACTAAAATCAACCAGTTCTGTGAGCATCCTGATCACCAGTGTTTTGAAGTGTGCATCTGATAAGTTGGCAATTTCTTGGTCGCTTAGTTGTCAGCTCTGAGGCTTGAGTTCTTCTTGTGCCATAATGTTTTGGTGTGTTTGCACCTGTTATGTATGAGGGGTAGAGCCCTAGGCGTTCACCAGGGCGAGGCAACTCAGTCACTGGTTTGTGACACTGTATGCGGGGGCAGGGTCAAAGAGGGGCAATAGCAGTCCCCTCTGTTGCTTCCCACCGCTGGGGCCTGCATGGTCTGTTTCACTGCTCACTCCTTTGCTTGGTTTATCTGCAGGGGAATGACTGACTATGGTCAGCCTGCTGCCTTCCTCCCACACTGGGTCTGCCCGTTGCAACCCCATGCCTGGAATTCGACAACTGCCACCCGCGCCTGGGTCTGTCCATCCACGTATTTCTGCGCAACCCCCACTTGGCCAGCTGCTGGCTACTCCCCTCTTACCAGTCTGGCTGAAGGCTTTGTTGTTGTCAGACTTCTGTATAGTTCAATTTTCTGTGTTTTGGTTGCATTTTTGTTAATAAAACTTTTTTTCTTTAAACTTGGTTGTGGGAGGAGGCACAGTGTTTCCACCTATGCCTCCATCTTGGCCAGAAGTACTCATAATTTAAACTTTCAGGTATTTTTTTTATGTTTGTTTGTTTTTTGTGGGTTTTTTTCACCCTGAAGGGACAACATAAAGATTCTTACAATCCAATGTGGAATAGAGAATGCTGAAGAACTGTGCTGTCCTGAACAGTAGCCACTAGCTACATGTGCTTATTTAAATTTAACTTTAAAGTAATTTAAATTGGATAAAATTAAAAATTTCAGCAGCTTAATCCTATTTTATATGCTTAGTTATTACATTTCTTTATGGGGTACTACATTGGACAGCTCAGATTCTGAACATTTTCATTATTTTAAAAAATTTTTTGCATTTCTCTCATTGTAGAGAGTTCCTCTCCTGTGCACAATGTTTTCACTGCTGATTTATCTTCATATAATTCAAGAGTGTTTTTTTGTGTGTGTGATTGGCCTTATGGAATTTCCCAGAACACTCTACTTAATTTTTTGTGTTTGAAAAACTTTTTATTATTTGTTATGATATATTAAAAATTATATATATATAAATTTTAAAGTATAACAACAAAAACCTGTGACTTTGCCACACTATTCAGGAGCTGGAATAATTTACAGTGCCGTTACGCCTAACTTGTGCTTATTTTTATTTCTCTTTTACTACTTCCCTAATGTCCCCATAGCACCTAACCTGATTTTTATGTTTATTCTTCCTTTGATCTCTTTATATGATATAATAATACTTTTGATTTATATTTAAATAAACAAATGAATTATTTATTTTTTATTGTTTATGCTATTACTTTTATTTCTGTGTTTTCTCCCTTTCCCAGCCACACCCTCTTCCCTCTCTACATCATTCCCCATATCACTGTCCATGTCCATGGGTTGTGGACATGTTCTTTGTCCACATGGGTTGTGGACATAAATGTTCTTTGGTTAATTCCTTCACCATCTTTCATCCAGTACCCCCACCTCCCTTTCATCAGCTGTCAGTCTGTTCCATGTATCTGTGCTTCTGTTTCTATTTTTTTCATTAGTTTATTGTATTCATTAGATTTCACTGACTGGCTTATTTCACTTAGCATAATATTCTCTGGGTCCATTCATGTTGTTGCAAAATCTAGAAGTTTCTTCTTTTTTACTGCTGCACAGTATTCCATTGTGTAAATGTACCACAGCTTTTTTTAATCCACTTATCTACTGATGGGAACTTAGGGTGTTTCTAGATCATGGCTATTGTAAATAGCACTGCTATGAACATAAGGGTGCACATATTTTTTGTATTGCTATTTTGAGATATTCAGGATGTATCTCAGAAGTGGAATCACTGGGTCAAAAGGGAGTTTCATATTCATTTTTTGAGGACACTCCATATTGTTTTCCACAGTGGCTGCACCAGTCTGCATTCCTACCAACAGTGTACTAGCATTCCTTTTTTTCTACATCCTCTCCAGCACTTGTTGTTTACTGATGTATTGATGGTAGCCATTCTGACAGGTATGAAGATGATATCTCATTGTGGTTTTAATTTTC